CTACTGTACATTACAAAAATACATTGGGTAAATATTTTTAAACAGCAATCGTCCTGCGTCAGCCTCCTAAATGCTGAGATTCCAGGAATACACCAACATGCACAGCTAAAATCAGACTTTTTTAATCTAATGTTTGAATAAAAAAACATATCCTGCACATTCTTAATTAAGACACAGTAGAATGTCTAGTTGTAGTAATGAGCTCAGTTTGGTTTGTTTTAAAAAGCATTTTGATGAGCATGTGAGGGAAAGATCATTTTCACGCACTGCTAATGGTGCCACCATTCTAAGCACAATTTATGTCACAAATGCTGCAGTGCCCTCTGAACAAATCTTATGAGTTAAACAGTATTACTCTACTTTAAAGATGAAGATGCTGAAATTTTAAAAAATACTAAGTACCTTTTAAAGAACATATAGTAAACTAATGGTAGAATCTGGATTTAACTTCATGGCTATTGCTATCTAATCCAAAATGTACACTTAGCCTCTACACTATAAACTTAATCCTGCTGGGTGAGGTAGTATTTATCTATAATCTCAGTTATTCAGAAGGCTGAGGCAGTCGTGACTTTGAGGCCAATCTGAGCAACACAACAAATACTTGTGTCAATAAACAAAACAACACCTTAATCCAATGAGACTTGTTTTTGAAACTATTGCTCTAATAGACTAATATGCAACATTTTAACATATTGGAGACTATGATATGAAAAAATACTTTCAAATTTATAAACAGCAAAATTTTTAAAACAATGATTTTATAAAAAGTATACATGAAATAGATATTTGTGACAGAGAGGCACATCTAAAGATACTGGTGAGAGCACATAAAAATTTTTCATTTTATCTCATTCCTAAAACTTCTACCTTTCTATTATAAACTATCTCTATAAAGATCAATTTGTTCTCAAACCATAAACCACCAATTTTAAGACAAAATCTTTTACTTAAAAAGGTGTATGAAAATGAAAGATGCAGTGTCAATTTCAAAATAATTATTATAAGTCTCTAGTGGTTCTTCTTAAGTCTAAACATGATAATTATTAAGGTTGTTTATGCTGCAATTATATAGCAAAAGGAAAGAGTTACAGAGAAACTAGACAGGGCCAAAGAACCCCTGGAGCTACCAAATAAGGAACTTCTCTCTCTAGGATGAATACCATTACTTAATGTCCTAATTCTCTCTTCCTGCACTGAACTGTGTATGGTCCAATGAACTCTTCGGTTAGTTAAAAGGAGTACCAAGAACTCATGTTTATTTATTGATGAAAGGTAAGGGTGGAAAAAACAGACTTTCCCATGTTGATCTTCAATAGTAAAACTACTTAACATGTTTGTTCAGTCTGCAGCCTCTTTCCATAGGTCTTTCAAGATGTTATTTTAACACCAGTGGAACTCACTGAATGATGTGACTGAACAAGGGAGAGCTGGGGCTTGCAGATATCAACCTCCAGCTCTAACCCAGCATAGAAGATTCTTGCTGGATTTGTTGAAAAGCTCTGAGAGGAAGGAAGAAACATTAGTGAGAATTTCCCTCAGATAAAATGTTCCAGTTTCCAGAAATCCTGCTCAATTATGTTCCATATATAT